TGATAGTTGCTTAGCATCGAAAACATAAATTCTAACTTCTGGGAGCCGGCAATTCCTTGCAATGGTAACCTGTGGCTCCCAGGTTGGGAACCGTAAGTTTCAAGGTCTGGGAACCGGCAGTTCCTTGCCATGGTAACCTTTGGTTCCCACGTTGGGAACCATCAGTTCCAACCATTAGGAACTGGAAGTTCTTTGCAATGGTAACCTATGGTTCCCAGGTTGGGAAGCATGAGTTCCAACCTCTGGTAACCGGCAGTTGCTTGCAATATCTTGCAATGGTAACCCATGGTTCACAGGTTGGGGTTGGGAACCAGGAGTTCCAACCTCTGGGAACCGGCAGTTCGTTGCACTGGTAACCTTTGGTTCCCACGTTGGCAAGCGTGAGTTCCAACCTTTGGGACCCGGCAGTTCCTTGCCATGAACCAAACGCAAACATTCTGGTACCGGCCCATTAAGCAAAACAAAGCGTTCCTTACCGGTCCATTGAGCAAAACCAAAAAATTGTAAAGAAAATGTTTTCATATCATTTTAACATGCACCTTTTTCGTGCAAAAACATCTTTATGCCGGCCCAGCAGCCGAACGCAAACATTCCGCTACCGGTCCATTAAGCAAAACAAAAGGTTCTGTTGCCGGCTCAGTAAACAAAACAAAACAACATTAAGAACCATGAGTTCTAACTTTTTGGAATCAACAGATCCTTCCACTGGTAACGTATGCTTTTTCAGGTTTGGAACCATGAGTTTCAAGCTTTCGCAACCGGCAATTCCTTACAATGATAGTTGCTTAGCATCGAAAACATAAGTTCTAACCTCTGGGAACCGGCAATTCCTTGCAATGGTAACCTCTGGTTCCCAGCTTGGGAACCGTAAGTTTCAAGGTCACAAGGTCTGGGAACCGGCAGTTCCTTGCCATGGTAACCTTTGGTTGCCACGTTGGGAACCATCAGTTCCAACCTTTAGGAACTGGAAGTTCTTTGCAATGGTAACCTATGGTTCCCAGGTTGGGAAGCATGAGTTCCAACCTCTGGTAACCGGCAGTTGCTTGCAATGGTAACCCATGGTTCCAAGGTTGGGAACCAGGAGTTCCAACCTCTGGAAACCGGCAGTTCCTTGCAATGGTAACCTGTAGTTCCCACGTTGGCAACCGTGAGTTCCAACCTTTGGAAACCGGCAGTTCCTTGCCATGAACCAAACGTAAACATTCCGGTACCGGCCCATTAAGCAAAACAAAGCGTTCTGTACCGGTCCATTAAGCAAAACCAAAAAATTGTAAACAAACTGTTTTCATATCATGTTGACATGCACCTTTTTCGTGCAAGAACATTTTTATGCCGGCCCAACAGCCAAACGCAAACATTCCGCTACCGGTCCATTAAGCAAAACAAAAGGTTCTGTTACCGGCTCAGTGAACAAAACAAAACAACATTAAGAACCATTGGGTTCCAACTGTTTGCAATCAACAGATCCTTCCATTGATAACGTTACTTTTTCAGGCTTGGAACCATGAGTTTCAAGCTTTGGGAACCCGCAGTTCCTTACAATGAAAGCCGCTTAGCTTCGAAAACATAAATTCTAACTTCTGGGAGCCGGCAATTCCTTGCAATGGTAACCTCTGGTTCCCAGGTTGGGAACCGTAAGTTTCAAGGTCTGGGAACCGGCAGTTCCTTGCCATGGTAACCTTTGGTTCCCACATTGGGAACCATCAGTTCCAACCATTAGGAACTGGAAGTTCTTTGCAATGGTAACCTGTGGTTCCCAGGTGGGAACCGGCAGTTGCTTGCAACGGTAACCTCTGGTTCCCAGGTTGGGAACCATGCGTTCCAACCTCTGGGAACCGGCAGTTCCTTGCAATGGTAACCTGTAGTTCCCACGTTGGCAACCGTGAGTTCCAACCTTTGGGAACCGGCAGTTCCTTGCTATGAGCCAAACGCAAACATTCTGGTACCGGTCCATTAAGCAAAACAAAGCGTTCTTTACCGGTCCATTAAGCAAAACCATAAAGTTGTAAAGAAACTGTTTTCATATCATTTTAACATGCACCTTTTTCGTGCAAAAACATGTTTATGCCGGCCCAGCAGCCGAACGCAAACATTCCGCTACCGGTCCATTAAGCAAAACAAAAGGTTCTGTTACCGGCTCAGTAAACAAAACAAAACAACATTAAGAACCATGAGTTTTAACTTTTTGCAATCAACAGATCCTTCCACTGGTAACGTATGCTTTTTCAGGTTTGGAACCATGAGTTTCAAGCTTTCCCAACCGGAAATTCCTTACAATGATAGTTGCTTAGCTTCGAAAACATAAATTCTAACTTCTGGGAACCGGCAATTCCTTGCAATGGTAACCTCTGGTTCCCAGGTTGGGAACCGTAAGTTTCAAGGTCTGGGAACCGGCAGTTCCTTGCCATGGTAACCTTTGGTTCCCAAGTTGGGAACCATCAGTTCCAACCTTTAGGAACCGGAAGTTCTTTGCAATGGTAACCTATATATGGTTCCCAGGTTGGGAAGCATGAGTTCCAACCTCTGGTAACCGGCAGTTGCTTGCAATGGTAACCCATGCAGCAGCAGCAGCAGCAGCAGTAGCAGTGGTAACCTGTGGTTCCCACGTTGGCAAGCGTGAGTTCCAACCTTTGGGACCCGGCAGTTCCTTGCCATGAACTAAACGCAAACATTCCGGTACCGGTCCATTAAGCAAAACAAAGCGTTCTGTACCGGTCCATTTAAGCAAAACCAAAAAATTGTAAACAAACTGTTTTCATATCATTTTGACATGCACCTTCTTCGTGCAAAAACATTTTTATGCCGGCCCAACAATGCCGGCCCAACAGCCAAACGCAAACATTCCGCTACCGGTCCATTAAGCAAAACAAAAGGTTCTGTCGCCGGCTCAGTAAACAAAACAAAACAACATTAAGAACCATGAGTTCTAACCTGTTGCAATCAACAGATCCTTCCACTGATAACGTTACTTTTTCAGGCTTGGAACCATGAGTTTCAAGCTTTGGGAACCCGCAGTTCCTTACAATGATAGCCGCTTAGCTTCGAAAACATAAATTCTAACTTCTGGGAACCGGCAATTCCTTGCAATAGTAACCTCTGTTTCCCAGCTTGGGAACCGTAAGTTTCAAGGTCTGGGAACCGGCAGTTCCTTGCCATGGTAACCTTTGGTTCCCACGTTGGGAACCATCAGTTCCAACCTTTAGGAATTGGAAGTTCTTTGCAATGGTAACCTATGGTTCGCAGGTTGGGAAGCATGAGTTCTAACTTCTGGGAACCGGCAGTTGCTTGCAATGGTAACCTCTGGTTCCCAGGTTGGGAACCATGAGTTCCAACCTCTGGGAACCGGCAGTTCCTTGCAATGGTAACCTGTGGTTCCCACGTTGGCAAGCGTGAGTTCCAACCTTTGGGAACCGGCAGTTCCTTGCCATGAACCAAATGCAAACAATCCGGTACCGGTCCATTATGCAAAACAAAGCGTTCTTTACCGGTCCATTAAGCAAAACCATAAAGTTGTAAAGAAACTGTTTTCATATCATTTTAACATGCACCTTTTTCGTGCAAAAACATGTTTATGCCGGCCCAGCAGCCGAACGCAAACATTCCGCTACCGGTCCATTAAGCAAAACAAAAGGTTCTGTTGCCGGCTCAGTAAACAAAACAAAACAACATTAAGAACCATGAGTTCTAACCTGTTGCAATCAACAGATCCTTCCACTGGTACCGTTACTTTTTCAGGCTTGGAACCATGAGTTTCAAGCTTTGGGACCCCGCAGTTCCTTACAATGATAGCCGCTTAGCTTCGAAAACATAAATTCTAACTTCTGGGAACCGGCAATTCCTTGCAATGGTAACCTCTGGTTCCCAGGTTGGGAACCGTAAGTTTCAAGGTCTGGGAACCGGCAGTTCCTTGCCATGGTCACCTTTGGTTCCCACGTTGGGAACCATCAGTTCCAACCTTTTCTATCTGGGGTCTATGCCGGTGTAATTTTCATCAAGCTCGCCCATTGCGTCAATGTACGCCACATTATTTGCTTGGTTTACACCGTGTTCAATTCAATACACTCTCATACGGTTACAAGATATCGTTTTTTTGGGGGCCTTATCGCTTTTCACTTTCTCAGCGCAACTGCGCCACTCCTAACTAAAGTCATCTACACTTATTCTGAGTGTATCTCATTTGACAATGTTTCTTGTACATTATTGCGGACGGACTTCAGGGACTTGTCATGACAGGAACATGAGCCAACCTTCTCTTCTCTTTGTTTGAATCCGGGGCTGAAAGGACAACGAATGAGAACAAATTGTGAGCACCCGTACCCACGAAGTGCTGGTAGCATATAGATGCATCTACATCTCTACATCTAGATGCATCATGATCTAAGATTGGGGGGAAACCAGTGGTCGCAGAATGTCGATGGGTCAAGTGGATTCAAGTGGATTCAAGTGGAGCGAGGGGTGCAGCATGGTGCAGCCATGGCCCTTGACAGCCTTGACACGCCTTGACTACCCTTCGCCACGCGCTCCTTGCATCCAAAGTACCCACACTGTGGCCCACACTTGCTCCACCAGTGGTCACCTTTGCCAGAAGCTGAGGAAGCAGTGCCTTGACATGTCGAAGCACCTGAGGCGACAAGACATGACAAGACGTCACCTTTTTCTGACGTCAATCGTTAAAATCACAATGCAGTAGATGTCATCAACATGTTCTCATTTCCATGGATTTCTCTTGACTTGACTTGCATTCATTTCCTGATTGTTTCCTGATGAACCTCAGCAGCAGTGCTTGGCAACCCTCAGTGATGACAAACACTACTGACAAAGTCCTCTCTCAGCTAATCATGGGGTGACATAAAATGTGCTCGCTCAGCTGGGATCACCCCCTTAACCTCTGGCAGCAGCAGCTACAAGTCCCTTTGATGGCTTGATACAGGTCATATGATGTGGCAATCATCGCTGCAAAAGCGATGGTCTTTCAGTGTCTTTCAGTTAAGCCAGGAAGCAGATGAGAGCTGCTCCATGTCTTCGAAGATATTCGGCAACAGAAGTGGTAGCAGGCCCTGACGTTGAAAGAAGATGGAACAAATACGGAACATGAAGATACTTGAGGTGGTAAGCAGGTGCCTGGAACCCGCCGCACATATCGTCATTGTTAGGTCATTGAGTCACGTTGCAGTGTTCAGCTGCTCTGATACCCTCCAGCCTTTGTGTGGGTGTTACTTCGTAGGGAGTTGAGCCATGGCGTGAACCTTGGCACCAAAATGTAGAAGACTTCGAACTGCGAACAATTTCAAACACATTCAACCAGACCGATTCTCACATCATTCTGCATCGCCATAGTTTGCCACAAATGTTCCATCCAGATCTATCTGGTGCAGTCGATAATGCCTGTCAAAGGATGGGCACTAAGTTCTGGAAAGAACATGTCAGCTCTGGCTCAGCAACTCATTGTCAATATGCTCGAGGATCTTGACGGCACTGCTTTCGAACGTCTTCAAATCCTTCTCCATCAAAAAGCGCAACCTTGGGCAAAGTCAAAGTCCAAAAGCACAATCTCAGTTGGTCTCAAAAAACATGAATGCAACCAAAAAAATGCAGCACAGCTCAGCTGGTGTGTCTGGCTACCGCCGTTCTGCTTTTGGGGTGTCTTAGTTTTGAAAATCATGATCCGCCAAGATGCCTCTGTATGGTGGCTCCTTCTTCCTTGGCTTTCTTTCTGCTGGAGCATTGACATGGCATGCACATTCACCCCATGTTACTTTGACACTACCAAATCCTGGCAACTCGAAGGTCAAAAGACATCCCAAGCTTCAAACCATTCAAATATCTCAAATCCAGCCCCCCAACTCATTTCACTGCAAAAGGAGTTGTTCATGGCCCTCAAACCCCAGGGCATCTGTGAGCTTGCTACCTCTTCACGCCATACTTTGGCCAGGTGTTTACCAAACCCAAACTTGTACTGTGCAATACTGTACCATCCTTTGAAAGGGTGGGGTCTTTCGTGATTTTCCTGTTGTCAAAGAGACCGTCATCATCTGTTTCTGCAGCTTCTCGTTGTGGCTATTTGCAGTTTCATCATTCAGCAGCACACTTGCGTGGAGAATTCTGCATAAGTCATAACCTGATGAAACAAAGTGCAGAAATGGATTGGTCCGGGCTGCAGAAATGGATTGGTCCGGGTTCCCGGAGCAAAAGATCAAAAACTGCTTGAACGAGTACCAAAAACAAAGCAGTTCACAACATCTGCTGCCGTCACTATTTGCTTTTCGACTTCTGGCTGTGGCACGGATGTTGTTGGCACACGTCGTCAACAAATGCGTTTCTTCCTCCACTTCGGTGCGAAAGCGCGCGATTCTCTCCAGCAGGTCCTGGCACTTCATGGCAAGACGCTGCCATCGCTAGACTTCGCTAGATACCTACTAGAATCCTACTAGAATCCTACTAGATATATCTAGATATCTCGTCACAAGTTCACAATAGCCTGACGTTTTTTCTCCCCCTGGGTGCTTGGCTTCGCAGCACACGCGTATGTATTGGGAACTATTTACATGATAAGTACAGTAATTACGTGTACTTATCAAATTTATCAAATAAGTCGTTCGAAACAGAACACCCCGATGTTGTAGTTCGCAGTAGTGATGCGCAACGAACATGGCAAAACAAATGCACAAACATGTTGCAAGTGGAATTGCGTGCGCAGTAGGCGTCCGGAACAAACACGGAGCAACTCTTCCGCTTAAAGCCAAGGTGCTGCGAAGCCATGAGTCTTGAGTTCCTTTTCCAATTTGTCTGAGTCCTTCCGGTCATTTTCTTCCTCCATGGTCTTAATGAAATCATTGCCTCTGATCCAGGCCCAGGGGCTGGAGTCAAAGGGAATTCTGATTCTGGATGATTTTGGGTCCTTCAAATATTTAGAGTACCTAGTTACCTAGATGAATTCAGCCCATCTTGCAGCAAAACGACACTTTTAGTGACATTTCTCCAAGTAACGTACTCGTCCCAAGTACTCCTGCCAAGCACAAGCATCTCAAACACTTCTGGCAAAAGAATTCTTCCCATCCAAAACAGCAGCAACACACACAGAGGGGCAAAACATGGAAGTGTTTGAAGCTCCTCGTCAGACGACGGGCGACCACGATACTTCACAAGTAGTTGTACCACATCCAACTGCTCATGACGAATGGCATCATCCTGCGTTGTTTGCCAGCAAAGTTGAAGTGATTCACAAAGGTTCACAGGGGGCAGCAAGTGCAGCAAGGCTATTTGTCCAAACCCACCACAGCTCACACAAGCTTGCACAATTACATTAATTACAACTTACAACTAGATCACGCAACATCACGGTCCAAAGGCGTGTGCAGGAAGCGGTCCAAAGGGTTTGGATCCACCTGCAGGGCAAACTGATGGGCAATCTGCGTGCCACTGTGTCTAGGTGCATCTAGGTGCATCTAGCTGGTGCTGGGTGAGCCATGCCCTCAGACCTTCCCTTCGCGCAGCAGAAAAACGCACGTCTCCAAATGTCCATTGGAGGCTGCGAGGTGCAGTGCGGTGCCTCAGGCCAAGCATGGTGCGGAATGTCAAGATAGAAGCACGCAGAAACATATAGAAACATGTAGACGCTGGAAACACCTCGAAACCGCGTTCGGGCACTCTCTACCAAGCAACGGTAGTCGTAGTCTGCCATTCCAGCCCTGACACCTGCTTCGATCATCCTTGGTTTCAACACCCCTTCAAACACCATGACTGTTCAAACAATGTGACAGCCCCATAGGCTCAGTTCTACCATAGGCTCCGTTCTATTCCGTTCTGCTAGACCCTGCAAAAGCCAAAAAACCAACGCACGCCCGAAATCGCCAAGACACTGGCGGATCTTGTGGTGGTCGTTCTCTGATGCTGCTTCGCACAGTGACACGCCAAACTCGACTTTGCCCATCTGAGCACCCTCATGCTTCAGTAACCTCTGCAAGTGATGCTGATGGCAATTAAGACCTTCATGTGCATGCTACAGCTTAGCTCCGTATTGTCTTTTGTAGACAGATAATAATAATGATAAAGGATATCACAATAAATCAATGAATAAACACATAATAAATCAATAAATAGATACATTAAAAAATATGTTTATATGTATATATATATATATATATGTGTGTGTGTGTGTTTGTTTTTATATATGTGTATATATATAATTATATATACATATATCATATACAAGTATAATCATGATTGACTACCTGAGAAGAGGGGACGAAAGCCAGGAACTAGTTGGAACGGGGAGACGAGAGTGGAGAGGATGGGAGGGATTTCGGCGGGGGTTGGTGGAGGAGGCGGCAGTGCGAGGCTATATTGAGTGCCGTTTTGGAATCCGTGGGGAGAGGGAAGGAATGTGCAGGAGACTTGACATAGTATACTTGACACTCCATATGTGGCATTTTACATTCCACACTGGACTGGTTCGACGTTAGACTTTACAGTCTATACTATAGAATCGACACCCCTACATTTCATACTGTACAAGTTATATTTTACATTCCTGGCTCTTCACTGCACACCTGCACTCCACAGGAACAGGAAACAATGGGATTTTCTAATCTTTCCATCAAGTATGACAATGATGGGGTTCCATAGATTTTGCTGAAGGTAAGCTAAGAGGGAGCCATGCAAAAGTAAGAAACATAACCAGTACGAGTAGATTCTGCAGATGGTGGATTCATCCAAGTGTGTATCAGGTTGCTCATCTGCTAGCTTCTATTAGTCAGAATCCATGACGAGACGATGTCTCAGAGTTTCAAAGTTGAGCTATGTATGTAGGTACATACGTACGTACGTACATACGTACTTAGGTATGTATGCATGCATGCATGCATGTCTGTAAGTCTGTATGTACGTATGTCACCGGAAATGCCTGAATAGAGACCAACGAACGCGCATGCTCGGCTCTACAAGACCACAAATCAATTCTCAACACTTTTTATAAAGTGTTTAGAATTCTTAGCATCGTTCAAGACCGACAAAAAGCGTAATGAGTTGCCCGAAGAGAGGAGGTGGAGGTCACTTTTGGGTATGTATAACCTCCGAGAAATTAAACATGATCCACTACAGGATGACAACAAAATTATTTATGAGAATCACAATAACAACTTCATTTCGCTATGTTTGTCGGGATCAAAATCTAGTGCCCCCCAAAATATATTGTCATCTTGTAGACATATATACATAGATGCATACATATATATATATATATGTAATCTATACACGATATGATATGATACTATGTTGTAAACTGGTGGAATACATCGAATCCCGTCCGGTGGATATCAAATGCTGTCTGGTTGCAAGCCGCAATACTGCAAAACTGTGGGCTACACATGGCTATACACATATGATTGCAAAGCTTTCGGATCAGACACCCGTTTTGGCGACCTCAAAATCGGGGCCGGCATTGAAGCCATGCATGCAGTTGGGCTACAAAATACTTATGAAAAAAAAAGGAGCGATGGTTCGAGACAGCAATAGTTTGCAAAGCAGCTGCAAAGCCGATGCTGCACTAGTGGACCATGTGAGCCTCCGTTCTTGCTTCATTTCCCCCTCCATTCCCGTCGCCCCCAATGCACGTTTTTCCGTGCCCCCAATGCACGTCACTGGACGGACCAGGGGGGAATCGAACCCCACCGACACCCAATTGCCACCTGGTACATCAGCCTATATCAGCCTCAAAATCGACCACGGTGGCCACCCTATTCAGTTGGGGAAGTGCCTCAAAATGGTCCGTTTTGAAGCGACCGCCCCCCGGACCCCCTATTCTCACTTCGTTCGCAAAGAGCAACCTCAGCCAAGCTTGACAGCTGGCTTTCGTAACATAGAATATGTTACGATTTCAACCCTTCGGGTGTGGACAGGAACAAAAAACTTAGAATATTTGGGGTAGAAATATTTGGGGTAGAATTTTGGAGTGCATAAACAGTGCCAAAGCAAATACCATAGGATACCATAGGAATAACGATATTCCCATATCGAAAACATGTGTGAAACCCAGCAGATTGGACGGTTTCCCAAATTGACCAGGTTTTTTGCTGTTTCCTTCACGCCCACGCACCTCTCGGGTAGCTGAGCGACGAGCGACGCATCAAATACCGATGGCATCAAGGAAGATACCAAGTAAACTTAGACTACATTTGACAGTAATGAAGGAAATTTGACTTGAACAAAAGGATCCCCCCACGAATTGCCAAATTTAAGGCAATCATTGTACCGACAAATGCACAAGCATCAAAGGAAAAAGAAAAGCAAGGGTAGGAACAGAAGAGAATACAAGCGAACACCCTCTTTGCATTAAAAGAATGCGTATACGACACCGGTCGTGGAGTGTACCCTTCGGTGAGCTTGAAAAACTCATTTTTTAGATACAATATATAATTAAAGGACCGGATAACCCCACAAGGCAACTTCTTCCAATAATGAGCACCAAATGTTGTAGCGGGGACGGGGAGGGAAGGAAAGACAAAGGAGGTGGTGGAGGACCGAGAAGTAAAACAAAGTTGTGTGTGACCAAGTTGTATGTGAAAGATGGTGTGTGGCAAAGAAAGATGGTGTGTGTGTGTGTGACAAAGTTGTGTGTGAAAGCTGGTGTGTGTGAAAGTTGTGTGTGAAAGAGAGCGTGTAACAAAGTGGTGTGTGAAAGATAGTGTGTGACAAAGTGGTGTGTGAAATATGGTGTGGCGAAAGATGTTGTGTGACAAAGTTGTGTGTGAAAGATGGTGTGGTGAAAGATGGTGTGCGACAAAGTTGTGTGTGTGTGTGAAAGATGATGCGGTGAAAGATGGTGTGTGACAAAGTGGTGTGTGAAGGATGGTGTGGTGAAAGATGGTGAAAAAGTGGTGTGTGAAAGATGGTCTGTGAAAGATGGTCTGTGAAAGATGGTCTGTGACAAAGTGGTGCGTAAAAGATGGTGGGTGACAAAGTGGCGTGTGAAAGATGGTGTGTCAAAGATGGTGTGTGGACAAAGTCGTGCGTCAAAGATGGTGTTGGACAAAGATGGTGTGGCGGTTTAGCGCCATAAGTTAGGATGGCCGTTTGGGCCTGTGACTGTCTCCCGGCAAAATGAAGTGATTTTAAGCCAAACCCAAGAAAAGTCATTTTTCGGCATTTCCCAAAAAAGTTGTTTTTGAGATTTCATCATTTTTTTGCGTTTCTGAAACCACAAAAAATGCATTTTTCTAGGTTTTGCATTTTTTCCATGGTTTGGGATAAGGACGGATACCGTTGGATAGCCTTGGGGCCCTCCCGGAAACCAGCAAAAAATGCATTTTTCCACGTTTTGCAATTTTTCCCAGGTTTGGGATAAGGACGGATAGCGTTGGATAGGGTGGGGCCCCTCCCGCAAACCAGCAAAAAATGCATGTTTCCATGTTTTGCAATTTTTCCAAGGTTTTGGCCCTCCTGCAAGCCAGCAAAACATACATGTTTCCAGGTTTTGCAATTTTTCCATGGTTTGCGATAAGGACGGATAGCGTTGGATAGCGTTGGGGCCACAAAGCAGCAAAAAATGCATTTTTCCATGTGTGTAATTTTTCCAAGGTTTTGGCCTTCCCGCAAACCAGCAAAAAATGCATTTTTCCACGTTTTGCAATTTTTCCCAGGTTTGGGATAAGGACGGATAGCGTTGGATAGGGTGGGGCCCCTCCCGCAAACCAGCAAAAAATGCATTTTTCCAGGTTTTGCAATTTTTCGAGGCTTTTGACCAGCAAAAAATGCAGTTTTCCAAGTTTTGCCATTTGTCCATGGTTTTGGATAAGGACGGATAGCGTTGGATAGCGTTGGGGCCCTCCCGGAAACCAGCCAAAAATGCATTTTTCCAGGTTTTGGAATTTTTCCAAGGGTTTGGCCCTCCCGCAAAACAGCAAAAAATGCATTTTTCCCGGTTTTGCAATTTTTCCATGGTTTGAGATAAGGACGGATAGCGTTGGATAGCGTTGGGGCCTTCCTAGAAACCGGCAAAAAATGCATTTTTCTAAGATTGTGTTTTTCAGTGTTTGGCATTTTTTTGATGTTTCTGAACCATCGTTTTTTGTGTTTTTCAATGTTTTTCATTTTTTTGATGTTTCTGAACCATCGTTTTTTTGTGTTTTTTGAGGTTTTGCATTTTTTTGGCTTTACGGAAATGGTGGAAAATTGGTTGGCCAACTATGGGTATGGCCATTTGTTGCCTCATGTGAACCTCAGGACAGCTGGACTCTTTGGCACGCTCCTGGTGACTCCTGAAGCCATTCGTTTCCTTGCTTTGCCAGAGATCTTGATGCTCATGGGTGCCCTGGTTCCATGTTGGTTACCTGCCGAACATCGGGCCGCAGGCAGGACATTGGGTAATGGGTTTTCAACACGCAATCTGCAATGGAATTGCTTTTCTTCAGGGTCAGACGCCAGTTGAAGTGCATGAGATGATGCCTGAAGCTCTTCAAAGGAGGTTCACTGCAGCAAACACCCGATGGAAGATTGACCGTGATGGATTCTCCTTTGACACTGATGAGTTTGCCTGCGGGCCCACCCTCAGTATGCATGCTACCAGAGATGTCACTTTGAAGTGCCCTACCGAAACTGTCAGGATTCACACCGAGAGAGGGGTGATCATCCTTGATGGACTGAAGATGCTCACAGGTGATGCCATGCCTAGCGTTGTGTCACTTATTCCTGGTGGGAACATGGATGCACGTGTGACGATCCCTTTGAGATATGCCATTCGTGAAGCAGATGTTCAGCTGCTTTCGGATGTACCAACTGCTCTTCGTATCAAGTTGGATGCTTTCCAGACCCGTGAGAATCAGGCTTCATGCATTGTTGTGCTCAGTGCAAAGGGAACCTTCATTTTACGGAGAGAGAGAGTGGCATGCTTGTCTCAGATGTGCTTCTCACCATGAATCATCACATGGAGGTGCGTTGTACGTCTCTCGTTGGTCTCTTG